GCTTCGTGGCGCGGCGGCCGCCGCCGCCACCGCCGCTTCACCGCTCGCAGCGAAGCAGAGACACCCCGAGGCGGCGGCAGAGTAGCGCCTGGGGAGCCCTGCCGCTGGCCACCCTCGGCTTACCTGGCGCCCTCGTGGCACACAACCTGGGAGTCTGGGAGGAGCGCGGCCATCGGAGTATCCCCACTTGGAGAGTCCTCCTTGGGGCCCCACGTCCCACTGGTCAGCCTTGGGGCGCTAGGGACTGCCTGGCCCTATCTTTGCGCCCTGGGGCAGGACAGAGCTCAGGAATGGGTGGGGGTGGCGGAGGCCTGAGACGGAGACCCCAGAGGCCAGAAGACGCTTTTGTAGAAGGGTGCGCTCACTGCAGGGGCTACCTTTTTAAAGATCAACTTTTATCCTTCCAGGTAGAGGCAAGGTACTCTCAGTCCCCAACTTATCTGCCTGAAGTCTCTGTCCCCCTCCACCTGCCTCCCTGTCCCTCCATTGCAGCCTCGGAGCACAGCCTCCTCCACCCAGATTTGGCCCTTTCCTAGAGCACTAGCAGGTTACAGCCCTCACCTGTCCTGAATCCCATGTGGGCATCTCGCCTCCTGGACTTTGCTCTCCTCCAGGCCCTGCCTAAAATAGCCTTTCTACTTTCTATTCACCTTTTCCAATTCAAAATACCAGGCATACCTCTCCATCCTGGAGCAAGTTTGCTGTCAAAACCCATCGCCAGCTAGACTCCCTCCTCTCCAGCAAGGTTTTGAGCCTGGAGTCACTGTCCTACCCGGCCTGCTGCTCCCAACACAGTGACCTTTCTTCCCAGGTCCTGCCTGGGGACCCCCCGCCCCCAGGCATGTGTCTGTTGGAATATCTCTGCTATGTGATCCCAGATTTCTGCCCCACTTCTCCCGAGGATGGACACCTGTCTCTCTGGATCTTCTCATTCACCCTGCTCCAGGTCTGTGTGCCTAGGGGTCTGGAGTTGGCTCAGGCTGCTCCTTGCCAGCCAGGAGGGCCAGGTGTTATGGGGAAGTGACTTACACAACCTGCTCTAGCTGTGATTTCATCTGTTCTATCACTTTCAGGACCTGGGCTTGAGGGCACTGCAACTTGATGGCCATCTTCACCTGCAGGCTTCCCTATGTGTCACCCTAGGGTGCTGAGGCAGGATCCAGTCCCCAGGCATGGTGAACATTTGTGGCGAACATTAAAAATGGTGACATTTCACATGAGAACTTAGATATCTGACTTTTCTTGAGAAATTGGAACATGTGGCCACACTGGGCCCCATTTCTGCTATTAACCCTTAAATTGGACACATGCTCTGCAGCTTGCTGTAGTTCCCCTTCCCTCACCCTCAGTGGGCATTTACTATTGTGACCTCTGAAAACACAGCTGGATCCAGAGAAAGGTGGATGGAAGAGAGATGACTCCAGAGCCAGCCATCCTGGAGGACTTCCTAGAAGAAGCAGCATGGGTTGAATTCTGAAGGTTGAGGGGCTCAGCAGCCCAGAGTTGGGTCCAGCAATGTCTTAGAACCCATACCTTCCTTCCATTCATTCTTCTTGTGGTTGTCATGCTTTCATGCTCCTCAAAGGATGAATGACACCCAACTAGCAGCCTCACAGACTTCAAGGGTCATGTTCTACAACCTCACTCACTTCCCTGCCAGGTTTATGGCATTACCTCAGTCCTCTTCCCACCACCATTATTTCTTTATACAGTACTTCATCCTGTACTTAACTTTTTAAAGGATACTTTTAAGTCATTAAATGGAAAGCCATCATCTCTCCATAAATCAAGAGTACCTGCCAAAAATAAATAAAATGAAAACAAATTTTTAAAATCAAATTCTAGATATTGCTCCCTGCAAAAGGCACTGAGGCTAAAGCTGATTAGCAAGTGCTGGGAAAGCGACCAGGCAGATGAGCTAGAGCAGGGACCTTCCCTTTGATGCAGTGGAGGAGGGAGGGGTGAAAGGAAAAATGAGAAGGAGCTATACTCACTGTGCGATATATGAATTGTTCAGACAGGTCCACGTACAATATTACCGACACACTTTGGAATACCAGTTCTGAGATATTTTTTGGAAAGAAGCTTTGTCTCCCTGACACACCTGCATCACCCCTGGCACCTGTTCCTGCCAACATCACCCCCAGGTTCCTGGGGCTCCACCCAGATAGAGACTCCCAATGAGTGGGAAGTAGACCACTGCCCTTGACCAGCCCATCTTTTAGTCCCCAGAACGACACTCTGCAAGGCTGAGTGGATGAATTGGGTGCACATGCATCAAAATGTATGGTTGTGCCCGACCGGGCATGGCTCAGCGGTTCAGCATTGACCTAGGATCCAGGCGATCAGGGTTTGATTCCCGGTCAGGGCACATGCCTGAGTTGCAGGCTCGATCAATGACTCTCTCATCATTGATGTTTCTATCTCTCTCTCTCCTTTCTTCTCTCTGAAATCAATAAAGATATATTTTTTTTAAAAAGGTATGGTTGAATCCTCCATACAAGGGGTCCTTATGGGCTTCTCCCAGCTTTGTGATCACCTGTCCTCAACTAAAAAAAAGACACTTCTTCACACCTCCATGGCTCCTATCTCTACTCTTCTTTTTCTAGAAAATGTTGCTCCACCCACTTGTGCTTGCCTCTCCCTCTGGTCCTGCTCTTCCTCCTCTAGGTGAAATGTGAGCACAGAAATCCCCAGTGTTTCTTTGCTCATCTACTTATTCATTATAGACTCCAGAGACACAGACCAAAGACTACAGGCCAACTCAGCTCCAACACTTGCTCAATGTGTGTCATGGGTGTCTGCTTTGAGTTGAACTTGAATATCTTTAGGTCTGGCTTGTACTCTCCTGTTTGACACAGTCCCCACCACTCCTGATTGTCCTAAACCTGCCTATTGCTCAAGTTTGTTAGCCTGGTCCCTGAAGGCCTGGAGTTACAACCCTAATCTAGAAGAGCTACATGTTGAGAGGGAGGAATTAGGACAAATCAGGATGAGCTTGGGTCCTCTTACCACTTAAAAACTTCCCAAGGATGTGAGGTACAGAAAGAGATGGGGACCTTTCATGGTCATCTTGGGTGTCACAAATCACCATGTGTGCCTAAGAGCAGGGACATTAAGAAAAGACAATGTCTCCCTCTCTGCCCTACCAGCTCTCACAGGGAACGGTGCTCTGCCTTATTCTGAAGGGAGGGGCAAGGCTCTCTGCTCCACTTCTGGCTACCAGGCCACATGTGCCAAGATAGATTTCATCAGAGCCATTCCTGCCCCTGGTAGCCACACAGAAACCATAAGTTCTTCTGCCCTTTGACGAGGTCACACTCTTTGGCAGGCCCTGCCCTCACTGCAGGCTACAAGCAGACGGAGGCAGTGAGGTTTCAGTGTCCTCCCTCCAGGCAAGCAAGCTCAGAGCAGTTGGGGGATGGACCTAGACTCTTCCAGCCCCCTGGGGACTTGGATAGAGAGCATAAGGAGCTGTAAGGTTTTAGTGACCTTGTCAAGGGGCCTCTAAAGAGAGCAGCTCTGCCCTCCTCCACTGTTGGCAAACAGCAGGCGCAGTGGCCTCATCAGATGCGCTGACAGAGTCCTGGCCAGGAGCGGCCTTGGTAAGCAGTATGTCAGGGGAACGCTGATTGAACAGAATGTGGTAGCCGGACGCCCTTTGGGGAGTGGTTCTTGCTGTTTCTTGAGCATCCCTCCACACATACACACCCTGACAAGGAGCTGTGTCAGGCAAAACAGGAAAAAAGTAGGCGTTTCTAGGCAGCATTTTTTTCATTGCCATATTTCACACAGCGTTGTCCTATGACCCTTAGAATCTGCCTGGAAGTGAAAGACAAAGTACTTGAAGTTTGGAGGCCAGGGGATCCAGGCTCAGTCAACATTCCTACATGGAGACACAAGCTGTAGGTTCAAATTCAATATAAGCAGTAATGACCTGGGGAAGGATGAAAGCTCAGTGCCCACTTGTAAGCGACACTCCATTTGCACATATGCTCAGCCTAGCAGAGAGGCAGAGGCCAACAAGTTTTCAAGGGGATGTCTGGGCATGGCAGGGAGTGATGTCCTAGGCCCACTTGTATCTGGGTCTAGACCCCTGGGTTCACCTGTGCCTGGCCTCTCACAGAGGTCAGGAGGGCCATTTGGTCCACCTCTCCCCTCTGAGAAAGGCCTCTGGGACTCTTAAGATAACCTTGGCTGCTAATAACACAGCCAGCTTACACTGTAAGAAAATGCACCATCTCACGTACCAGATCTACAAGTGTGACAGCTCCAGAGCTCAATCTGCCACTTATGTCTGTGCCCCTGACCAGGTGGAAGGGTGGCTAAACCACATACAGGCTTTCTGCTCTCTCCTAGAACGGCTGGCTGACTCCCTTAGGGTCTGTGGGCTAAGGCTGGGTCACATGCCCATTGCTGAACCAGCTGCCAACTAGTGTCAGGGGCTGCTACTGAGACAAGCCTGGATGAACTATCTGGGGCGCAATGCATGTTAGGGTTCAGCCCCGTGGCCCCAGCCCCCAGCACCTCATATGCCTATATTTCCAAATGAGAGGATGGCACAGTCCCAGGTTACCCCTGCCTGGTTCCTTACATGATTTTATGTTTACCTCCTATTCCCCGACGACATCACCTGCAAGGCCTGGAGAGTTAACTTCTTTACATATAATCTTGCACTTAGCCTATGAAAGACACAATCCTATTACATTATGGGGTTTTGTGTTCAAATCCTTTGTAAGCCTGACTGGGTATTTCCTCACTTACAATCCAGGGAACATCAACTGCTAGCCCTGGCCAATGCCTTGCTAGACCCCAGGATCCCTGGCTTCCAGGGCCTTATTCTCTTTAGGTCACCCTCCCTTCCTGTCATATTCCTTCCATCCAGTGCTGCTGTCAGCCAATGATCTTTGGCACCAATTCAAGGCCAACAGGAACCCCCAATTTGGGGTGCAGTGAAGAAGGAAACTTTGTTCAATGCAAAACAGCTCAAATGTCATACAGCACAGCTGTGAAACAGCACAGTTGTGAGGCAGACCTGGGGCCAGGTAGCCCTGGCACCGGCCCCTCTCCAGCTCTGTCCTGTGCCAGTCTGCTCCGGCCTGCACTGGTCTGCTCTGTTCTGTTTCGGGTGAGGCATCTCAGTGGAAAGGGAAAGTGCACTCTGAGCTTAAGGGGAGCTGGCTTATAGGAACAGAAGTCCCTGCCTCTGGTCTCTGATGGGGCTGTCCTCATGCAAATGAGGACTCCAAATCCTCACAGTTTGATTGGTCTAAAAGGCACTGTCTTGATCAGTCAGAATACAGCCTCTCTGGTTGGTCGGAGCTCTGCAACTTCAATTGGGTGGGGAACGCCTCAGTCCTATAGGTTGAAATGGATTTCAGGAACTTCATAAGGACTGGCTCAGGTGGAAGAAACACAGTGCAGGCAGGCAGTTGAGTGCAAGCTTCTCTCTGAAGTACAGTTTGCATGAGAGGCCCAACCCTGCCCAGTTCACAGCATATAGACTCTAGAGTGTGGGTCTTAAAATGGTCGTAGTTGCCGGGCCAGTGTGGCTCAGTTCTCTGAGAGTTGTCCCATGCACCTAGAGGACGCCGGTTCAATTCCCAGTCAGGGCACATGCCTGGGTTGTGGGCTCGATCCCCAGTAGGGGGTGAGAGGAGGCAGCTAATCGATGTTTTTCTATCATCGATGTTCTTCCCCTTCCTCTCTCTCTAAAATCAATTAAAAAAAAAAAAAAGGCCAAAGTTTCTGGCTGGGGCTGGCAGTGTCACTAACCATGGGGTCCTAAGGCTGGGAAGCAATGGGAAGAAACTCTGGATGCAGATTTGAAGGCCTTTGGCCATCACTGCAGCCACTGGGGACCCCTCTGCTCCTTCATGGAGTACCAGGAAGCCTCTCCCCCATCCCAGGCCCTAGGCCCCATCACATGACAGGCCCTCTATTCCACATGGTATCTTTGACCGAGCCCAGATGGAAGGTCACTGTTTGCATAATGTTGTTTTCAATTTTTAAGCAGGCAAAAATATCCTTTTTTATAGCAACATAGTAAAGACTTCCCCCAAGCCCTGGATATTGGAAATGGAGATTTTTTAATGTGATTGCAGGTTTTACTGGTTTTCTTTTACTGTTTTTAATCTATCAGACGATGAGTTGGACAGCTGAAGGAGAGTA